ACATCGTCAGGAAACCTACATGTCTGAGAAGATAAATTTTTAAGACGTGAAGTATGCCAACGCGCATTGGGGCAGAGCGCCATACACTTCCTAGCTCTCAACCCTCTCAGAAGTAAGAGGAGGCCTGTGCCCATAGAACAGCGGTTGGGCATAATATGGAGGTTATAGTTATATGATATAGTTTTGCATCATTCTTCTTTATCTACCAACATAAGTCTGTAGTTGAATACGACCGTTTTAATATAATAATGCCGCCGTTTATCGGAAGTCATAAAGTTTTCTGGCATTGCACTTTTGATACCCGAAATGCGATAAGTTCAATTACACCACCACAGCACAGTTGTGATTTTGTAGTAGTATTTACATTGTGAGTTCATTTCATACTAAGTAATCCCATGAGTATGAGTGATATAGTCCAATATTTTTTCTTCTTTTGCTTTGTCTCCAGCGATATATTTTTAAATGCGACATTTATAACATCTCTACACTATCTTACATCTTATTTTCTAGTTTTCACCTAGATTATATTGGAATCAGATAGATAATCAATAGAAGTGTCAGCTTAGGGAACAGACTTTTAAAAAACTGTTTCGTAATAGCGAAATAAAGTTTAAACTGAAGTGAGATTAAATCCTCAATCTATCTAAATCTCAAACGTACAAATGGATCATTGGTATTGCACATTGCACGAACGTGTGAGTGATGTTTTCCCTAGTCAGGATATAAATTGTGGAGTATCTAGTGAGCAATTACATAAATAAACGTAGTTGATATGTATAAGCTTTGGTTTGGTTAATACATTTCAACTACATACAAACATCGCAACGAGCAGTATTATTATTTATTTGGTGTGATTTTTTTAAATAAGTCGTATAAAAATATGATAATAATGTCCTCCAAACTACATTGTAGTCTACTATATTAGTAGAATAGTTGTAACACTAATGGGTCGGCTCGACCGGAGAAGGACTCTCACAGAATACCAGCATAAAATAGCAGCCTAACTCTGCTGTGTTTCGTGTGATGGGCAAGTGTAGAGAACCGGAGTCCCTTTTTGCTGGAAACAAGGTATTCCATCTTCATCCTCAAGGGTGATGACGCATCTTCATTTTGGGCAGATGTAGATGTCTATGGGCCACATCAATACAACTTACCATCAGGTGGACTGTATGCTCGTTTGTCACACTATACTACGTAAAAAAACTCCAAACAGAATTTTAGTCACGGTGACTAATAGCCATCTGCGCAGGACAGGATTATAGTGCACGAGTGTATGCACATGCACAGGTGCACTCTCTATTCTCTCACCATTATAGTTCGCTGAGGCGGTAATCCAATGTAACCGGAGAGCAGACGCAGGACCAACGGCTTCACGTGCTCTCCGAGACATGTGGTTGAAACACGATCATCTTCGCGACTTCGGGCTGCCAAAGCTGCTGCCGAATTTTTAGCCAGAAGAACTCTGGTTCGAATAGATGAATCGAATGAGTGAAAGGCCCAACCCGGGATTCGAACCCAGGACCTCATGATTAGCAATTGCGCTAATAACCACTAGGCTAACGAGGCAATCACTAGTAGAAAATACAAATTTCGATAAAAAAGATGGTTGTACTCCTTTACTACCTAGGAGTGCCTTGGATAAGGAATGGATTATCTTATACTGCCATCACATGGCAATATTTGACACTGCTGCCACAAATAATAGTACTAACACACTGCTGTACATATTTTAATTTATGTTAGTAAACTATTGACTGCTAGTTGGACACGTTATACAAGAGTGTGGTAACATTGATTTTTCATGGCACTGTGGTACGCTTGACTTCAATGCGTACTGATGATTTTGCTGCTCTTATTTTAACAGGCGCTTTATTTAGTTATATAAGTAAGTAGCAGTTTTTTATAGAAAAGGGGTGACAAACGAGAACATAATCCACCCGGTGATAGGTGGATGCTGTGGCCCATTGAGATCTACATCCTCTTTCATACCATTTTTACAGCCTCGTTTTCAGTAAAAAGGGTCTCCAGTTCCCTACACACACCATTCGAAACAGCTGCATTAAGCACGCACATTTCACGCCTAGTCCTTCCCCGGTCAAGCCGACACATTCATGCTACAAATATAATGCAGCTACAACGTGGGTCTACCACGCATAATCTGTTTTGTTTTAATCGACCATAGTCGACATTAAAAAAATTGTTTTTTTATTTTTTCTGTGAGAAAATACAATTTTGTTACAAAGTCGGTTTAAATACAATCGGTGCGAATGAATAATTCCTGTAGCGGCGTTATAGCGAAACATATTTTATTTGCCACTTATCACTTCTCAGAAACATACATCATGTTGTAATGTGAATAACGTTCAGGCACGGTAATAAAATTACCGTGGTTCAGGTTATTTTGAAGTGAAACGGTTCGAGCTTAAATTTTGCACTTGCGTTCATAACTTAAGATACTGAAACAAAACTGCAAAGTAATATTTTTTTTTATTTTTTTTTCGCTTTGCCATTCAATATAAAGTGGGTTGTAGAGTAGGGGTGGTCTCATTGAAATTAAATATTTTAAGAATGGAGCGTTTTTAACACAGGTATTTATTATTGTTTTTTTTTTCATAAACTGAAGTGGCAAAAGACCTTATAGTCTACCTAATGGTAAATGACTAGCAGTAGTAATGGTAGCGAACTTATACAGGCTCATTAAAAAACTATTAACAAGAAAAATTTCTATCGTCATCTTTTTGGTAAAATTGCGAACGTGCACAACCATAGATTTTACAAGGCAGCCAAAAACCCGTCTTTTAATTTTGTTCCCCTGTGATAACATCAGATTAAATATTTTTATTTTTGGTACACTCAAAAAGTATGGACATTAGAAAAAAAGTTTGAAACAATAGTTACAGAGAATAAACTTATCTTTAAATATGTATTCATGCATTTTATTGATTAACCTAATATTTCAAGATTTATTGGCCGCGATAGAAAGTCCGATTCATTAAATCGGCCACAAATCGTAAACGGTAAGTTTTACAAAAAAGTTAACCAGAAACAAAAGATAATAAATTTTATTTTCTATAACTTTTGCCTTAAAGTGCATAGTTTCCAAGTTTTTTCAAGATGGCGCTTGAAGCGCCACCTGGATCTGTCAGCATTTTATAATTTTACTCTCAGTAAGTGATCCTAAAACTTATAAAAATTGGATCGGAAATTTAGTTCGAAGTTGAATTTTATTTTTACTGGCCTAATATTCGCAATTATCATACAATAATTTTTTGCTGGTGTAAAATAATATTTGCATTTCAACTTGGAATGGAATCTAAATGGAATAGGAAATCGCAATCTATTTTTAGTTAAATAAAATAATTTAATTATTTGAAATTAATTACAGTCACGAGCTTAACCCTCCAATTGCCTTTTATCTTATATATTATCTTACCTCTAATCTTTTTAAATGTGTAAACATTATGAGTTCATTTATTTAATAATCAATGTAGTGAAATGAAAAAATGTTCACAGTGTGAAAAGTTTATTATTCTTTTAATTAACTTTTAAATAAACTTTGATATTTTTTACAATTAATAACTAAATGTCACAATAATCAATAGTAACATATAAGCTTAAAAGTTTTTTAACTTACTCAAAATAATTATTATTAAAAGATTAATAAAACTAAGACCATCAAAAATAACAAAAGATAAACTAAGTTAAATGTTAAAGATTCGATCTTCTTCATCAGGTTTTTGTAAAGACAGGTTCGTCAGGTTTTGGTAAACGATCCACCACAGTTTCAGATACTGGCAGATTTTCATAATAATTTACGTGGTAGAGCCATGCTGCAGCTATATTAGTAGTATGGTTGTAGCACGAATGGGTCGGCTCGACCGGGGAAGGACCACGCTCTCACATAATACCATCGTCAAATAGTAGTGTGTTTCTTATGGTGAGAGTCGAGAACTGGAGACCCTATTTACTGGAAACGAGGCATTCCATCTTAGTCCTCACGGGTCACAACGCATCTGCATTTTGATTTGTAATAGGATATACTCGTATGTAGATGTTAATGGGCCGCAGCAACCACTTACCATCAGGTGGACTGCGTGCTTGTTCGTAAGCAGATTTAGGTATTAAACAGTTACTTTTTCATTTCTTTGCTCTCAGTTTTAACTTAGTGAACTCTCCACTTAAGTAATCAGTGTTTTTAATAAAAATTTATTTCGGGTTTTTATGTCGATATTGAACCCATTCTCCATCTTGAAACTATAAAACTTCAGGAAGGGTTGGTTGACTATTTTTTGTTCTTTTTGCTTCTGATTCAAACTGAAGAGCCGAAGAGTTTAAAATCAAAAAAATCATCATGCAATAATGTCACAACATTAAAAGTACTGGGTTAATTCTGGTCATCTGGTCATCATAGGAGTATTTTTTTTAAATTTTTGTTCTAATTTAGGATGAATAGAATCGTATTCCATATGGCTATGACTTGATTAAAAAAACACGTGGTCAATATTTTGTATTGTGGGTGGTTCACAACTAGAAAAATAAGCACACAATTAAACTTGAATTTTTTTTACTACCGCAATCGCCCGATATCATTCTCACGTGTAACACGTCAGATATATTAATAATACAGATGTTGCGATTTCAACGCTTCCTCGCTTGCCGTCCGTTCCCTCACATCCCCGGTATAGTAATCGACATTTTGGGTTTCCAAGTTATTCAATCTTAACCCTTCTTTGCATGATGATGGAAATTTTAATCATAATATTTATTCAACAAAAAAAAGGTACTCAAAACCCTTGTACTGTAAATTGGTTGTTGCAGGCAACTTTTTAAGCGCCTATAGCGTACATCAAAATGCAGTTGTCAAAAAATAGTAAACGTCACTGTCAATTACCAGGCTTAGAACTTGTCATTCCGCTGTTTGTTGTAACTGGGAGAAACAAGTGATATTTTAAATTGTTTTAAGGAAATAAACGGGGATATAAAATACAAGAAAAGTGAACATGAGTGGAAAAGAGGTTTGTTTTCATGTTTTTGTTATTTTATGTACAATTTATATCAAAACACTGTGAATACATTTCTCAAAACTATGTGATGGAAATTTACATCACTGTGCAGTAACTTCACTTGTAATGTATGGCAATTTTTTTTGTAAATGTTTATTTTATGTTTTTTTTCAGGGAAACTTGAATGAAAGAGATATTGAAGATTATCTTAGTAAGTTAGAAGGCGGTTGGCTCTCAGAAGATGGCCTTGATGACCAAGATTCCGATGATGAAAACCGCGATGCTGATGAAGTTATAAGAGTGATGCAGGAGGAGAACGATGATGATGATGATGATGTGGATGAAACTGCTGACATTGATCCTCCTCTTGTAGAACCAGAAGATCAAGAATCCTCTCACCCATCAACATCATCCAATTTGCAGTCTTCATCCAGTTTTCCATTTGACAAAAGAAGCTTGATTTGGAAAAAAAGGAATCTGGTGTATGATACAGATAAAATTACTTTCTTGGGGAGTTCTACTGCTTCAGGCGGTCTATCACACCTAGAAACTCCATATCAATGTTTTAACCATTTTATCACTAAAGATTTTATCAAAACATTAGTAGAGGAGACAAATTTATATATAATACAGAGTAATCCCAGTTCATCTATAACATTTACAGAATATGATTTGTATAAATTCTTGGGTATATTATTATACATGTCAGTAATCAAATTTCCTAGCACAAGATCATACTGGTCGCCCAAGTTTGGATATGAGACCATTTCTTCAACAATGCCACTAAACAAGTTTGAAAAAATAAAGTTATCATTACATTTTAATAACAATGATCTTCACAAACCTATAGGTCATCCAGAACATGACAGGCTTTATAAAATCCGCCCTGTTATCAAGCATCTCAATGAGAGGTTTGCCACAGTGCCAATGAATCAAAGACTTTCTGTGGATGAACAGATGTGTTCTACCAAAATAGGGCATTTTTTAAAACAGTATCTGCCTAAGAAGCCCCATAAATGGGGCTTCAAATTGTATGTTCTCTGTGATTTGATGGGATATGCCCACAAGTTTGAGGTATATTCTGGACAAGAGAATACAGAGAAACTCCCAGATAAACCAGATCTTGGTGCAACAGGAAATGTTGTAGTTCGTTTGCTTCGAGGAGTGCCAAGAAACCGAAACCACATCATATACTTTGATAATTTTTATACCTCTTTGCCACTGGTAGTTTTTTTAGCTAAATCAGGAATTCACACAGTGGGAACTGTGCAACAAAACAGGATACCAAATAATAAACTTCCAGAGAAGAAAAATTTCATGAAAAAATCTGTGTCCAGGGGTAGTTTTGAGGAAAGAGTGTCTGTGCATGATGGTATAGATTTGAGTTGTGTGGCTTGGAAAGATAATAAGATAGTAACCCTGTTATCTTCTTATTCTGGAGCATTGCCTCTAACTAAAGTCAATAGATTTGACAGGACAACAAAAGAAAAAATTGATATTACTTGCCCGTTTATTGTACAAGAGTACAATAAACATATGGGAGGAGTAGATCTCATGGATAGCTTTTTGGGCAGAAATCATATAAAAATGAGGTCTAAAAAGTGGTATTTGCGTATTTTTTTTCATCTATTTGATCTAGCTATTATAAACTCTTGGATTATTTATAAAAGAAATGCTCAAGAAAGAGGTGAACCTAAAAAGAGTTTGCTTACAATGGGCCAATTCAGAAATGAATTGGCCTTTGTGCTATGCACCAGAGGGACCACCAAAGAAGCTAAAAGAGGGCGTCCTAGTACCAGTTTACTAGAAGAAGAACTACAATTAAAGAAAAGAAAAGGTTCTCCAGCTCCACCACCTCCAAAAGACATAAGAAAAGATGGTGCTGAACATTGGCCAAAAGTAGGTGGGTCACTCCGGTGCAAATTTCCCAAAATTTGGGAAATTTGCACCGGAATTGTGGAATAGCCTTTACATTTAATGTAAAGGCTATTCCACAATTTCGTGTATTAAATGTGGCGTCAATTTGTGCTTAAATAAAAATAATAATTGTTTTTTAAATTATCATAAAGAATAAAGAAGATTGAGTAAACAATATTTTATTTATTTATTTAGTACTGAGCTAAATATGTGACAATGCATGATGGTGTAAATTTCCATCATATTGTTTTTTACATAATACATATTTTTATTTACACTAGGATTTTTTTAAATATTTTTCCTTTAATCTAGAGCATTAATTACATCACCCTGATTTATTTTAAAAAAATTTAAGAAATCATGCAAAGAAGGGTTAAATTGTATACTGCAAGCTTGCATACATAAAATATGGAACTACGACTACCTTTGGAGCCTGTGCAAAACATTATGCAAATGTATCAGTGTCGCTTTTTGCAGCTTATTTGTCAAAATCTCTGTGCAGATTAGCATCATCCCTACGCTTAAGATTCTTGAATGAAGCTCTGTTCGGGATGGGTTTGTTAGTTCATTGCTACGGGATAACTTCGAATAAGCTACACTTTGAAACTTGATTATAAAACCTGAATACTTTTCTGTACTTTTCACACTGGAATTATCGATATTTTTTGTCTTTTTTTTCTTTCATTCTAATTGTTACTGATAATAGAGCTACCGTTGTTATATATTATCAGTAACTAATACAATTTTCTTTCCGAGAACAGCGACGCAACGTCGTTTGCAAATACCTAAGACGTATCTGTTCTACTTTGCTCAAAGTAAAAGAAAGAGTAACTGTATATAAATCTCTACGTTTATTCAAAGTCAAAGGGCAGTATTATAGCATAATTCTTGTCTGTTAATTTAAAATTAGAGTTTAAGCAAAATTAAATTGACAATTGCATTTATAAAATGTAGGTACGATAATTGGCTTTTGATACTACCTCTTTGAGCCTAGAAATGTTTTCCTTTTTAGAACAATTCTTACAATTCTTAGAATGTAAGTTATGCCACAGCAATAATGCGAATGTAACATACAGGCTTCTTCTCTTCTCTTCTTTGTAGTGAAAAAGAATATCACAAAAAATTCACGAATATGACAGGTAAGTTGATTATGGTTAATTATACTGTATTTACTTTAAATAGACTATATACGATATTTACGTAAATGATGAAATATATCTATTAATAAATACTAATAATTGGTACTGGTTATACTAATATTGATATTTTTATTACCGAAAATTTATTTCAGCTTAGTATTATATTTATTAAAAGCTCAATTTCATAATACGTTATTGCAAAATAAAAATAAATTGTAAAATATCAGTGCCATAACATTCCATTCCGTCCACCTGTTACAACCTTTTTTTCCAGACGGTTAAACCCACTATGCATAAGAACATTAAAAAAAGCTTGATTAAAAATACTGTTGCGTGAATAAGTCAACTAGCGCCATCTAGTGTCAGGAACGAGAGCGAGGGGAGCTTTGCAGAAAATGACATCACAAATATCTCAGCCGACAGAGCCATCCGAAGAACTAAATTTCTAGAAAATCTACACTCGCACACTCGTCCCTTTGCGCGCATTTACTTGAATATTCCGGATGCTTCTTTGCTAATTTATATAAATAGGCGCTGCAAGATGCGATCGAGGCAGTGTTGATTTGGCGAGAAAAGCGAAGCTTAGGAGCGGAATAAAGTGAATTAGTGTGTTTAATTATTAGTGTTTTTAACTTTAATTTGTGTAAAGTAAATTAAAGTGTTAATTTAGGTAATTTTATCGGCAATTTTTATTGTCACGAACCTCAAGCTCGTAACAATACGAATAGACGCAATATTCGTATGTTTACAAATGATTAAATAATTTGTCCTTGATAAAATATTTTATCTGCACTTTGTAAATTTAGCCATTGTGATTGATTGCAATTACCATGGTGATTGATATTAACTGTGATTTGCGCATTTACTGTTATGATATATCATATCCTATAATACATACTGTCGTTACTCTATCTGGGGATGGGGGGACGCCCTACACTTCGCCTGTTGGTACGAGGCTGCCACTCGAGAACCTTTTATCCCTATCAGTTATTGGTTCTACGAGCTATGTGGCCAGCCCATTGCCACTTTAGTTTACTAATCCGTCGAGCTATGTCAGTCACCCTGGTTCTACTGGGGATATCCTCATTTCTAAGTGTATCACGCAGAGAAACTCCGAGCATAGCCATCACAATAGAACGCGACTTTGAGCTTACTCGTACAGCCGACAGTGAAGTAACATGTCTCAGATCCATAGGTCATCACTGGCAATACGCACTAGTTGTATAATCTAGTTTTGAGGTTTTTAGGTATGCCTGACGAGACGATATGTTGCAATCTCCCGAACGCTGCCCAGCCGAGTTGAATCCGTCGATTGACATCTCGGTACAAGTTGGACTTATCTAGTCGGTCTGTTTGTCCCCGGTAAACGTACTCCTCAACAACTTTGATCTTACTGCTCCCAACTACCAATAGCATAGTGCAACATGGACAATACATATGACTCTTGTGTAGTGACGGGTAGGAATACCCACTTACCCACATATTCCCGTGGCTGTCGTAAGAGGCGACAGAGGAAACTGAGGCAGAATATGGGCAGCAGTCAAGAGTGGCAACTATAGCAATATACCCCTCAACGATATAAAGATACGGAAAAACAATAGCAAAGTTTTCTCTAAGCAAAAGCTAATTGCGAAATAGATTTTGGTTTTTGATTGCTCGCTTCCCAAGTGACAGATGCCGAATCTTTTTTCCAACTTCTCACTGAATTGTAAGAAAGGCATAATTTAAAACCGATGTACGAAATTTGCTTTCGAATTTTGAAATAAATATTCCACTGAGGTGCTGAGAGTGAGGAAGAAAATTATAATCGACTGGGGCGTTACACAAGTTAGAAAGTTTTAATTTAGCTTTTGAAACGCCAAGTATAATGTTAAGAGCTTTTATTACTTAATATGAAATGGTAGTAAATAAATTTAAATAAAAAAGAAACTAAATAGAATAAAATCTTGCTGTCTAGCCCTAATTACTTTTACAATTTCAACCTTTATTTTTACACATTGAGTGGGTAATTTTTTCAAATTCACTGGGACCTTTTTTGATATAATATCATTTTTGTTAAATAGAAAATCGGTTTCAATCATCGAAGCAACGCTTATCGCATAGTGTTGTAAAAGGTGGAGAAATTCAGAACCCCCTTTTTTGAACACGGTTAACGTAAAATATGCAATGTTAAAGTTTTTGTTGGAAAATATAATTTATTTAGCTCAACGTTTTAATTCACATCATTATTATAGCCCCATACAAGCCCACTGATTTACATAGGCTTCCCCAAAGAACACTCCTTTAAGCTTCTACATACGGCCAGCAGTGAACCACGTCTCAGTTTTTAGGGCTCATAGCTTTTATAGCAACTGAAAGAGAAGTACATCTTTTTCGTCATTTTCGGAACAGTACAAAAATCTTGCAGCTTAGACTCTTTTACAGTTTTCCTCGTCTTCGGCCTGAGTATAACATGTATTGCGTAAACAGGATGGTTAGACTGGCATTATGTATAACGCCAGACGATAATACCATGTGACAATACGGCTACTTGGAGACGAGATCTTTCAAGAATGTCCCGTCTTCATCTCTTACGACACCCACGGGATAATAAGTAAACTACATGATCAAATGAAAACATTCCATAGCATTCCATACAGTTATTTAACCTCTAAACCCCCTAGCGGTCTCATGAGACCGCGACAATATTCCGTCAAATCCCTAGCGGTCTCATGAACCCACCCACAGCACTTTAACCCATAAAAACTTATATATCAAGACTACTTTTCTATGAAGAAAATTCGCATTATATAATCAATGTGAAATACTCTATCCTATAGTGCATTACAAAACTGTTATCCTGTGAATATTTTTTTATAATCCACGTTTATTTCTTACGCCATTTTCGCGTGAATGTTATTGTGTTGATTTTTTGATTTTTCTAGTGCTTTATTAGTGGTTTAGTATAGTGTTTTATTAAAAAATTGTAATGAAAGTTGTTGTGTGAATATAATTTATCTTTTTACGTAAATAACTTCGAGTAATATATATATATTAAAATAATTGTGATTTTTACGCTGCCTACATTCGCTTGGTATGTTTTTTTTTTCTTATCAAAATACAATAAAATCTTTTCGTAATGAAGTAAAACCTGACTTTTGTTAGAATGCGAAGATAGAGAATTTTGTATAGATTTTATAATGCTAACCTTTCTCATAGAAAATTATTCTATAAATATAATTTTTAATGGTTTCAAGTGCTGTGGTTGGTTGCGGTCGCTTGCGACTGCATATGATTTTAATGGCGCTTGAAGGATTAAACGAAATATGTAAAAACAAAATAAAAGCTGCGTCAGATTTGTACGCCCTGAGTTTTAATTTAATTACCTATATGAGTATGTGTCTACTTGAAGATATTTCAACACACTAAAATAAGTAGTAAGTGCTCCAACTCACTGTATAATAGTTTCTAATAGTTCATAATAGCTTAGGGTGTCTTATTGTGTGTACGTAAATAAATAAAAAAAACAATAAGTCATGTTGTAGAATGGACAAAGTATAAGTTTTAAATTAACAAAAATCAATAAAAGTAAAGTAAATTAAAGTTACAGCATATATATCTCCCACTGCTGGGCACAGGCCTCCCCTCATTTCTGAGAGGGTTTTAGGGCAAGGAAGTGTCCGCCGCGGTGCTCCACTGCGTGTTGGCGAACTTCACATGTCTTCGAAATATTTTTTCCTTATTCCTCAGACATGAATGTTTCCTCACGATATTTTCCTTCACAGCCAAGCACGTGGTAAATAAGCACTTAAGATTGCAATAAACAATTTCATTGGTGCCGGCGGGGATCGAACCCAGGTTACACGCGTTCTGTTATATTTACAGCGAGCGTTAACCATCTTAGCTACGACGGCTCCAAAAAAAAAAACA